ATTTCAGTATGAAATGAATAAATGAATGAATGAATAAATGAATGAATGACAAACGTTACAAAGAAAGACTATATATACAACAGAAAGAATTTTAATAGCAAGGAAATTTTGACTATTACCATTTTGATTTGTCTTGGTGAATACTTCTTTTTGTTGATTAGATTTATTCGAAAAAAGTCACTAGCTTCAAGCATATTTCTGTGCTAACTGCTTTTCAGATTCTATATGTATATCTCTGTATTAATTTCTAGGCAAATACTATCTCATTTATGATCTTTTCTTTTTTCGACTATTAATTATTATATTTTTGTATCTTGATATGGCTTCAAACTAATTAGTCTTTTTTTTTTTTTCTATTTTCATCTATATACATACAAGATCTTGAAGAATCATACCACAGGGTAACAGAAAAAGAGAGCGAAAAATTGTTAAATCTGATCTTAATAATGACGTGATAGAATACAGACGGATATTTTAGAGAAGTCTATCAGGTTTGTCAGTTATTAGATGTAGCTAGAAATTTCTTGAATAAATAAAGATTGTAATGTTTGATTCATCTCTCATTGGGATAAAAATAGTCGTTATATATATTTTTTTTCGTATATGTATACACTAGAGTTTTGTCTCATAAAAAACTAACCACATTTTCTATAGCACGGTGGATTCACTATGCTAGAAATCACTTGTCTTCCTAGTTTGTCCAAGAAGATTTTGACTATTATATTCCCTGAATACGTAGAAGAATCTAAACTCTTTATGATGTGTTGTTAGAAAATATAAAATTATACAGCGTGTGTTTGTTCATTAATTTTTCCTTGTTAGAATAGAAAGATTTATGCTCTTTATAAAAAAATCTCATTATTCTTTTAATAATTGTCATTGATTTCCGATTGTGTGATTCTGGAAAATTTATCTCCTCTATGATCAATCATTAATATCATCTCGTTTGACACATATATATAGAAAAATATTTCTTATTAAAATAATCAAAAATGAAGAGATAAATAAAGCAGTAGTCATGTTTTGATCATCATAGGAAAACACCGGAAAATCATAAGTTAATCATCCTATATCAACAAAATTTGAACGTTAAATAAGGAAAATTTTTTAATGCTATTCATAAGCGAGTGATATTTCCGGATGAGAGGCAAATATACGTTTGAATGTACAGCTTTTAGATTGTAAAAAAACAAAAGATATTAGCGTTCAAACACCATTTGAACGAGAGAGAGAGAGAGAGAGAGGAAAACCTGTCTATATGAACAAGACGACAAAACTTCCTTTTCAATATAAGGTTAAATTGATCTACAATATCCACTTTTATCGAACTATTTTGGCAATTTATTAATTAGAAGAAGTTTAGCTTAATCAATTTACAGAATAATATAAACATTTTATAGACTAGATTTACGCAAGAAAACAATAAATTTAAAGTTTTGCAGAGTAGATTATGCTAGGTGTCTACATTTGGATGATTAACATGCATTTATTATATTTATTTAATATACACATAATCAAAACTAATGAATATTAACAATATTATCGCAATAGTTCGGAGTATTTCATAGAAACAGATAATAATGTCTGTATAAAGATATTATTCTCTTCATAAAACACCAACTCTATTCGTAAACGAGTCAATGTTGGATTTATCTTCTTCCAAAGTTCTCATTTTTTCCCTCAAAACTTTAAATTTGGATGAATCTACCATGATATATTGATTTAAATAAATTATCAGATTAACTGGGTGTTTAAATACATTGTTTGACATTCGTTTTTCCTTAAGCACATCATGAACACCGTGAGAATAGGATTTAAATCTAATCATCTTAAATAACTATTAGAACACAAATTGATACTGTTAATGTTACGTGTAGGAGTCCATTGTTGAGATTAATGATGAAACAAGAAATGACTGACTGTATTAATGAAAAATCAGATTCTTTAATAAATATATGCTAGTAAATCAAATGTAAAACATATAGCATAATCTGCTTCAAGTATGAAAAAAGAATTGTCCATAACTAGAACTAGTGATGCACGAGTCTTCTCTATTTTGAATTTTGCAATATTTTAAAATGTATTCTTTCTTTACGTTTAAAACTGTGTGAATTTTCCCATTTTTTCGTGTAAAAATATACAAAGATACTTTTTCTGCACGAAAAAATTCACACAATGTAGTAGAATCTCGCAGAAAAAAAAATGGTATAAGAAAAAATAATTTTTCTATATTTTCATTTCAGTTATATGATTATCTTTTTTACATTTATTTTATCACACTTTTTTTAAGTGACTACTAACCTGTGTCTATATTTCAGCTCAATTAACAACGGCACACAAATATTAATGATAAATTTTTTTTAATAATTCTTTCTCTTTCTTTTTCATTTTTTTTTATCTACATAGAACAGATATGTCAAAGTTAAAAATATAAAATAATTCTTTGTACCAAAACCGTGATAAATTGTTCGCACCGTTGTTGACGATGATTATGATGATCAATTATGATCTATGTCGCAGAGAAAAAAGATCTTTCTTTTTTTTAAAAAAAAAACACCAAAAGAGATCTTTCAATTGCTCTTTTTTTTTCTTATAGTATCAGTATAAAGAAAATAAGTACTAGTTTATTAATCGTTAGAGCAGTGAATGAAAGTCGCTGCATTGCTCTTTTTTCTTTTTGCGTTCTGTTTTCACACAATATATATAAGAAGGAGAAAACAAAAGATTTTCTAAATAATATGTATGAATTCGACAGCAACGTCCTGTTGAACTCGATCGATTTTAAATGATATAATAAAGTTTTTTTAATATATTATTTGTAATTATGCATATGTTTCCAATTGGACGTGTTGTTTATATGCCATTAGGGTCCGCAACATCTAATACAACATCCTTTTTAACTCCATTAACTTCACAATCGCAAATAACAGAACATCATCCGCCAACATTGATACCGTTACACGAAACAGCACATAATGTCAATTTAACACCATTATACAATACTGTATTAACGAATTTGACAATGTGTCATAAATGTAAGTGAATATCACTTTTCTTCTGACAGTTTAACGTGATTATGCTTTTACAGTGAACGACCATTATTTTTTTTGAGTGTTTCTTGAATTTTCGTTTTATAGTAATCATTTTTCTTTAATTCTAAATCGAATACGCTACGATAAAATAAGCTCAAAAACGAGCAAAAAACTTCACTGATAGAATGTTAACACTATAACTATCCGACAGAGATCACAAATAAATCACCGATTTCCATTGAACATTATATTTTCTCAATTTTCTATGATTAAGTACTTTCATACTAAGAGATTAGAGTCTTATTTAGTTTAGCTAGTGGACACTACTTCAAGACTGAATCAATTTTCTAAGAACGAGTCAAAATACCGCTTACTATCTGACAAAAATACATATCATATCCATCGTATTTGACACAACAATTTAATTCATCTTCTAAACTCGAACATACTGAATGAAATTTTGTTCATCAGACGGTGTTTAGAGTAGACAACTCATTCTCTCATGCATTTACAGTTCAAAGAAGTTCAATACTATTGTACAAATAGTACTATAGATAAATAAGTGAAATATTATGTTAACAGATTTTCATCAAATTACTCTCATTTTGTCATCATGCAAAAGTATTTTTCTGTTTGCTGTAACCTGTATCTATCTAGTTAGAAACCTTTACTATACATGTCTTTTGTTAACTACAATGGTATGTAATAAATAAACATGTAGATATGTATTACAATTATGAAATTTTCTCTTTTCTTCACTTATAAATATTAAGTGTAGCAAAAAAAATATTTTCTTTTCAAAAGTGGATGTTTCAAGTAGATCATAGCTAATCGTAAACTTTCTCATTTTTCCTTTTCTTCAGGTGAACATCTCAAAGAATCATAGAAATATTTTCTTTTTTTTGTCCTTTGCAAGGAAAATCATCCTAGTAAAATATATAGAATATTTAATGAATTTCCGGCATTTTTCATTAAAGAAAGAGAAATGGTAGAGTTCAAATATATTTATTATGTTTTATGTCAATTGAAAAAACTCAATCGCAGACGTGTTCTTCACTTTTACGCTTGATTTCACTACCTTTTTAAAATCTTTTCTTTCTTCTCCCTTTTTAGGAAAAGAAGATTGTAACAATGTCTTTGTTTACATGATAAATAGACTTTGACAAAACATGAGAATTTTTTTTTTCTTATTTGGCATTTGTCTTTTGTTCATTTGTTTGGTAATAAATAATGACGATGAGTTGTTAATAAGATTTCTTTTCCTTTCATTCTCTTTTTTAAAATAAATTAAATAACGTTGAGATAAAGACATTAGTGATGTCATTAGTTATGAATAACAGAGAAATATATTCTTGTCCTTAGAATTTAGACATATTAGTTAAATATATTTTGAAGAGACTATGTTCCACTTACTAGAAGATGATTGTAAAAAAGAGCGTTTTGTTTCGTTGAAGTTGTGTACTTGATGAAATTTTTGAAAATGGATCACATCGACATAAAATATGGTTAACAAACTTGATCCCTTTATAGTTTTTGTCTCTGAAAACATAAGCATCTCTTTGAGAAATGTAGTAGACATTTCCTTTTTTTTCTATTTAAAATATTATTACTATAAGGAACGACAAATAATTCGTTTAGGCACTTTTCAATTATTTTATCGATATTTTCTTCTATACAAACAATCAATTTGCGTTAAATCAATAAATAAAGTTGATCAGACAACCATCCTGCTCATCTTTTTTGTTGATCAACAATAAAATGCATTATATTCTACATATGAACTGATTTGTGAAGATTATAGTATAATTATTAGATAGCAAATGTCCAATAAATTGACAAAAACGAGATGTATCAATTTCCGAGCCTGAGCATCCATCCATAGGAGTATTCTATTGTTAGTAGTGATGATAGTTGATATACATAATAATTTAAATTTATAAGAGTAGATTTTCTGTTATCCAACGTGCTTGCAATTGAATCAGAGCAGAATTGAAACCGACGTATAGGACCGTAACAACTGGTATTTTACTGAGCTTTTTGCTCGTCACAAAATCCCATAAAACTCCAGTTTTTCATCAGAAGAGAAGATTGAAGCGTCTGATATTTTTAGATATCTCTTTTCCTGAAATAACATTTACTTACATTCTCAGGAACTATCTTTCTATTTATCTGTGTTTTCAATATTCTGCTCTTAGTTCCCTCTAGGAGCACAACTTTAATTAATAAACACATAAAAACATAATATTGATCTTCTATAATTGGAGTCATCGTCGCTCTATACTTGACTGTATAAGACGGCGTATCTCGAGGCTTGTTAACGGGAAATTTCTTTTGTTCATCATTTTGTGGTTACAAGCTTACTCTAATCCCTAAGCTTTTTTTAGTAAAACAAAAATTATTTTCAGATCATGCAAAAACATTTTAATTAGCTCAGAATTTTCAAAGAGCACTGATATTTTACCTATTTGGAAAAAATTTTTACCAAACGGGCCAGACTGATTCTAACTGTGAAGCAGAGCTCGTACTAGATAACTTTAACTTTCATTTAGTGCCCTATTTCAGCGAAATATGTACTGTAAAGTTGGACGATGAATGGGACACTTTGAAAAGTACCTTACTACGAGGCACTATTTTTCAGTTTTCGCGTTGACACTGACTCCAAAAAGTGTCATCGGGCACTTGCTTTTTTACAGCGTAAGGTGATCTTGTTCTTAGTATCGAGGGCAAAACGTATTGTCATTCATATTCTATTAAAGAAGCAGAATAAAAACTTTTCTTTTTTATTTTAACCTTGGTGGCAGAAGAATTTTCATCATTAAAATATAAAACTGTATTCGTACTAGTGATGGGACCAGTTTTGGCTCTGTCTTCAAAGTTGGCTGAAATTTTTAAAAATAGCTTCGATCCAGAACGGTTTGAAACGGTATTTGGAAACATAGAAAAGTAGTAGAAAACTATCCCAATAAATGTGTTCGTATATCTCACTTATTTTTCAATCATATCGTCAAACAATAAACTCGAGCAGAAACATCTTATCATGAGAGACAAGAAAATCGTGGGCAGATTATTGCAAGCAATGATTCCAACTGTTGGAAAAAATAGACTAAACAATTCCGCAATATAATCTCCCTAAACTTTTAGTCATACTATTTAGTCTTGAAAAAGATGGTGGTTTAGTTCTGTTCAGTTTCAGAAGAAAAAAAACGTTAATCTATCTCTCCTTCGTATTGATAATGTTCTGCTCTTATATCTAATGATTTGTGAGTAATCCAGTATGTGGAAAAAGTATAAAATTAGCAAACATAAGTATATAATTCATAAAGAACTTAGCAAAAGTTGACATTCACTAGCAAATGCATAGAAACACTCCATGAATTGCTTCAGTGCATCTTGTAACATCTGTTTATATTGTGTTCCTATGTTTTTTTTTCTTAGTTGAACATAACACATTGAAACGTTTGCCCTCATCTGCAACATTACCGAATGAACTTAAGCGACCACATGATGACTCTGATACAAGTCGTCGAAGAAAACGTACGAAACTATCATCTTCATCTCCAAGCAGTGATGGAACAACTTCATCTACTAATACCACTACCACGTCGCCATCGTCCAAAAATTCCTTGATGATGTTACATGAATTTAAACCAAATGTAGAATATAAATTGATATCTCAAACCGGTCCGTCTCATCGACCTATTTTCACCATGGTTCGTTCGTGTCTTACGAGAGTATGGCCCTTCCAAGTGTCAAACCGCTTTTTGAACGAAATATATGAGGACATAGGTAGTTATGGCGCTGTTTCCAACTATCATAGTTGGGATTTCCAGTATTTCTTCCAATATGTTCGATTTCTAGAAAAGTAGCAAATGCTGCACGTTTTTGCTCAATAGCAAATTTGGAAATCACCACGTTGCAGAGCAAGACAAGTTATACATGTCGATAAATTGGTTTGACTATCGAATGAGAGCTGAAAGAGTTGTAAACATTTTCACTCCATATTCTCCTGGATAAGTAGCAGTGTCACTGACAAAATAATAGAACAGCAGAAAAGGTCTACATTAGACAGGAAACGAATTCAGAAATGCTAGAGAGGCGTAGAAGACTTGAGTATGAGTCGTGTAAGCAGTTTAATATTTCATTTATCGTTATTCTTTCCTTCGATTTCTCACTAAATTCATTGTCTCTATTTATCTTCAATCATTCGTCAAAATATAGAGTTGAAATGTTTACAACTCTGTCAGACCTCATTCGATAGTCAAACCAATTTATCGACGTGTATAACTTGTCTTGCTCTGCAAAGGAGTGATCTCCAAATTGCTATTGAGCGAAAACGTGTAGCAGAAACCGGACATATTGGAAGAGATACTGGAAATCCCAACTATGATAGTTGGAAACAGCGCCATAACTACCTATATCCTCATATATTTCATTCAAAAGGCGGTTTGACACTTGGGGAAGCCCTCGTCAGTTTGAGACCGATAAATATATTAATACATAAATTGACTATTCTAGGCTGTTGAAATCAACGGACAAACATTTGAAGGCATGGCTGCAACTAAAAAAGAAGCAAAGCAATTAGCTGCCGAAAAAGCTCTTCGTTCATTTGTACAATTACCGTTTCCATTCGAATCGACGAGCACCAGTGATGATCAGATAGAACAAGAATGTCAAAAATCACAAGATGAAGATACGATATCGACAAATATAACTGATGATAGTAATATTGATAATATAACTTTAAATAACATTATTACAACAAATCAAAATCAACAGCCACCGAATGAACCTAAAGAAATTCAAAGTGGCATGGGACCGTTGTATATCCTTAATCAGTTGAAACGTGGTGCTAAATTTGAATTGATAAACGATAATGTAACAACTGGTGAAACAACTGAAGTGAAAGAATTTAAATTTTCTGTTATGATTGACGGACAAACATTTATTGGAATAGGACGAAGTAAAAAATTAGCAAAAACACGTGCAGCACAATTAGGATTAGAAAAAATATATGGAATGTGTTTTGATAAAGAAGGTAATTCCATATAAAAAAAAATAACTTTTAATATCGATAAAAAATTTTTCTAGGCAATGTCCCCGTTGAAAATGATACGCTACCCTCAACTTTAACATATTCAGGAAAAGATTTAGCCGATAAAATAGCTAATTGTATTCAAGAAAAGTTTCAACAATTAACAACCAATGATGTTCGTTTACAACGCCGAAAAGTTTTAGCTGGAATTGTGATGACAAAAAATTTTGATTTATCAACAATGGAAATTATTTCATTAACAACAGGTACGAAATGTATTAATGGTGAGCGATTAGTATTAAATGGAAAAGCGTTAAATGATTGTCATGCAGAAATTGTTTCTCGTCGGTGTTTATTACGTTATTGTTACCATCAATTAATGTTATTCTGCGATGAAACAACAAGAGCTGAGTCAATATTTGAATTAAGACATAATAAACAAAAATGTAGATTAAAAGATAATATACAATTTCATTTATATATTTCGACTTCTCCATGTGGTGATGGCCGATTGTTTGCACCTCAAGAACAGCAGCAAGATTCCAGAGAAGAAGTAGTGTCTAATGAACCATCAAATTCACCAGTGAGGTATATTACATTGTGTTAAAATATATAATCATAATTATGTTTATTGTTTTCATTTTTAAGTCATCCACTAAGAAAATCTCGAGGTTTACTTCGAACAAAAATTGAAGCTGGTGAAGGAACCATACCAGTACTTGCTAAAACAATCTATCAGAGTCTTCAAACATGGGATGGTGTATTAGGTATACAAAAAATTTTAAATACTATGGTGAAAACAAAATATTAATTTTTTTACTTTAAAGGTGGTGAACGTTTATTAACAATGTCTTGTTCAGATAAACTTTGTCGCTGGAATTTTATTGGCTTGCAAGGTAAAATAAATGATATTAGTATAGTATTTCATTGATTCACTTTTTATATATTAAGGCGCACTACTGAGCATGTTGATTGATCCAATCTATTACACAAGTATCATTATTGGAAGTTTATATCATTCCGTTCATATCAGACGAGCGTTATATGCAAGAATCGAGCGTGTAAGTCAAACGCTATTTTCAGATTTTTAATCTAATTCTTCTCTATTTATTAGGCAATTGAAGACATTCCACAACCTTTTGGTTTACGACGTCCGTTTATTTCGGGCATTTCATATCCCGAAATGCGAACAACAAGTCGTGCGCCAAATCACTGTCTAATATGGAACTGTGTGGATCAAACAATCGAAGTTATCGAAACTGTTACTGGTCTTCAAGCTAATCGTGAATCATCTACAGTCTCGAAAGCAGCACTATTTGGTCACTGGTTAAAAGTTATCAAATTGCTTAGATCAGATATTGATGTCGTACCAAATATCTATTGTGACGCCAAAAATTTATGTACAGATTATCAATTAGCAAAAGCAGAGGTAAGCAAACAATATTGTCAGGTTATTAATCTTAAACAACATAATCATACATTTAGGTTGGCAAAGCATTTCGAAAAAATGGCCTTGGAATGTGGATTGTAAGTAGTCAAAATGGGACTTTTTCTCGATCACTTTATTCATGTTGGTGTTTGTTGTTTTAAGATGAAGCCATGTGAACAAGATGAATTTGATCTATGTTCAACAATATCAGAGCCTCTGACTAATGTATTGATGAATGGAGATAATAATCAAAATGATGAAAGTTAATAGGTTTATTTTATTTTTTTATATCTAATTTGTAACTGTGATGTAATGTGATTGTTGTGTTTAAGCCATGACTTCTTTTGTAAAAAAACGAGATTAAACTTGTTTTTGTATGCTTTGGTAAATCCAGTCAACTTCTATTATTTTATGAGTATGTACGTTTTCGATCACAAAATTTTATTCTATCAAATGATTTCAAAAAATAACACTTTTGATGATCAAATTAATTAACAGCAAACAATACTTTTAATCATAAACATGAAAAACATGTTTACAACTTTATGGCAGCAAAATTGTCCGAACGTTTTTTGGGCGACCTTTAGCTTTTCTCTTATCTAGGGGTTCACAACGCGTTTTATCACTAATTGAATACGTTTTAAATAAAATAGCCAGTCCAACAGAGTGTTTGCATGTATATTGCTTGAGGCCAATTAGACATGTACACGTTGTAAGCGGTGACACTAATCAACATGATGTTTGCCATACCACAAAATCGTCGAATGATGTCTATTGACCAGATCGATATGTATCCAACCAAACGAATGGCGCCATTTTCTCAATTGATGCTCGGACAATATAAAATGTAATTCATTTGTTTTGTTAATTAATTTAGTGATCAAAAGTGTTGTTATTTCGTGATAATTTGGGTAGAATAAAATTTGGTGATCGAAACACATTTTTTTCTATTTTATTTTAGACACATTTTCTTCTCTACTTTAATTTTTGTAATAAAATTCCTTTAATTGTAAGTAGACAGAGAAAACTCCACTCGTTCAGCTGTGTAATGGCTGAACCATCAGATACCCCGAGAAAGTCTGCATCTTTTATAACTAAGCCTAATTTTATACTTATCTAACTGAATAAACATTTATTTTCAAAACTTTCTAGTTTTCCAGATGACCTTATTTTTCAGTTGTTTTAGCTTTTTGTGGCTTTCCGTACTTCTAATGCTGTAGAAAAACGGCAAATACTTATTTAGATATGGCTAAAACCTATGCAAAATTCTCTACCTTTTAACATCCAAATGAAAATTTTTAATCACGCTTAACCTGAGAAAAAAAGGTTGCAAAAGCCGATAATTTAATCTGGATCACCCGTTACTTCCAGTTTTAATTTAAACAGTTTTCCTTTTATTCACGAAATAATGGTAAAATAAAAAAAATAAAATAAAAGTACAACTACCAGAGAAAAACACTTATTCGGCAATTCGGGATATCCCATTGTATGCCGGATTCTAGATGAACATGCTGGAACAAAATGAGTATATAGAGAAGAAAGGTTATACTAATGTTGGTGAAGAGAGAGAGAGAGAATTGGGAATCGAATTTTGAGATCCGAAAGGTTTAGTACATCATGACTGATTAAATCTTCCAGTAGTATCAATAAATTGGAGGATGGTTGTATACACTCCTACCAGGTCCTGCTTAGCCAGTGCTCGGATAGATTCACGTTTCAAAAGTATGTGCTCCAACGTAATGTGATTATCATTAAGAACAATACGCAGCTGCTCAAACATAAAATTACGAGACTTATCGTAAATAGCACAGTCCATGAAAAAATGTTTAGTAGTCTCTCTATTAAAGCCGCATGCACACGCCGATGACTTTTCTAATCCACCTCTAGTAAAGAGATAGTCATTTAGTTGGGGGTTATCAACTCTACATCGCGTATGATGTATCTCCAACCGCCGATCACGCATTAAAAAAACTTCCAGTTTTGGTGTAGAGTAAAAAATACGGAAGCTACCTCTCCCTCGTCTTCGGTCCAAGCGCCTCTGAATATCATGAAAAAAGCATCGTTGTTCTGATTATTGATCAAACTTTCTGGTTCACTGATTAAGTCGACACCATGCATGCCAAAATTTGGCGATGAAATAGATAAAAGAAATGAGAAGAAATAGATAGATTCGTAGATAAAAATTTGTTATGATTCAATCAAACTAGGATGGTGCATGTGAACGTGGTTTTCGACTTTATTTTAGTGCCTAAAAATAGAAAACAACATCATCCTAGTCTTTTCGCGCCATTCGTTATTTCTATGTATTTAGATAAATATTACTCAACTGACCTATAGCGAAAATAGAATTGAACTAGCATTCGTAACAAGTGCCAGTCAGTAGAAGAATTCATAATCTCTTGTAGATTTTTACGTTTTAAAAGTTACGCAGATTATACAAACACGTACAATTTGCTACATTAAATTGATGTAAATATGTTTAAGATTTATTCAGCTATTCTTCTAAATGTGCACTTTTTATTTCTTCCAAAAACGTAAGATATTGTCCTTCTGTACTCAAAAACATTCTTAAACCGGTTTATGAGTTATTTCAGATATATATTAGGTGAAATGAGAGCCGCGCTATCACTGACATCTCGAATAAAGTTGAATGATGGAAATTCAATTCCAATATTTGGATTAGGTCTGTATAGAGCAGAAGCAAGTACAGTAACTACCAACATCGTCGCAAAAGCAACAGAATTAGGATATCGATTATTTGATACGGCTGAACTCTATAAAAATGAACAACAAACGGGAGATGGATTAAAAGCAGCACAAGTCAAGCCATCGAGAGAAGAAATATTCATTTCAACAAAAGTGTTTACAACAGAAGGAGGACGTCATCATTTTTTACAAACATTTGAACAAAGTCTTAAGAAACTACAAGTAGATTATATTGATCTTTACTTTATTCACTCACCACAAGGAGGACACGTACTTGAAGTTTATGACGCTATGTTGGAATTACAGAAAACAGGAAAAATTAAATCAGTTGGGGTTTCGAACTTTGGTGTCAAGCATTTAGAATGGTTGATTAATGCTGGCCGTCCACTACCAGTCGTAAATCAAATTGAACTACATCCTTGGTGGCCGAATGAGGACATTGTTGACTACTGTCGAAAAAAGAACATAGCAATTATGGCATATTCACCATTAGCAAAAGCGCGTGTACTGAATGATACTTTCGTACAAAATTTAGCTAAAAAATATCATAAAACACCAGCTCAAATCTTGCTCAGGTGGTCAATCCAGAATGGATTTATTACCATACCAAAAACAAGTAATACGGAAAGACTAAAAGAAAATATGGATATATTCGATTTCGCTTTGGAAAGTGATGATATGAAAGCATTATTAGAGTATGGAAAAATGCATGCGGCTAATACAGGTTGGGATCCAACTACAAATAGTGAAGTAAAATTTGGACCAATGGATCGTATTCACACTGAAATGTAGAGCTATTTTCGATCACATAATTTGATCGAATAACTTCTACCAGAACGACTACTTTTAACGAAAATAATCTAGGAAGCCTTTTATTGATAGGGCTTGTCTAATCCGCTTTTTAATATTTATTATAATGAGATAACCTCGCACGAAGCTTTTTTGTCTTTTTGATTTCGAAACTTGACTTTGTTTGAACTCAATAAATTTGTTTTACAAGCACTTCTCACTTAGAAAACTCTAAGTGTTTGAACCATGAATACGCCTATGGTACGCGCAACCCACTGAAAAAAAGTTCTCGAAACTAACGAGGAGACCGCTAAATCATCAACTCTAGACATCTGTTTGGATGAGTTTCGTACATGATGTTGACATAGCGGACGAATGCGATAACCAATTCTCCAAGTGCCAGGATTTCATTAAAACATGGATCTGGCGTTTGTTTTAAATGAACACAAGTATCCCCCGTTTCTACCTCGCGCACTGTCTGTATCCCTTCATAAGGAATTAGTAACTGGGCTAGATTAGCATCAGCACCTTCAACTATCGCTCGCCTTAGTTTGGGAACAACATATTCTAAGGTACCATCATCAGTATATAATGATGGTGACTCACAGTGTTATCATGGAATACCAATGGATTGATGAAAAGCGTAAAAGATTCTTACCACCAATTTGATCGTTACTTCCTGTGGCTGATGCTGATATCGTGGTTGCTGGCAAAAAATGTCCGCTAGCTAAAATTGGAGTATCAGTAGTTAATGTACTTGCTAACGGAACAAATGGTGATGTTGTTGCTGAACTTGATTGTGGTACATCCATATTTACACTACTAGCTATAGTATTCATTGGCACTGTAGATATATCAACTTCCATTTGTCCTACACCAACATTGGCCTTATATATCAAACGTAACATATTAAGAAGCAGAAGGGGAACCAATTCCCAATTCAGCTAATTTTTGAATCATCTTTTTTTTGCCAAAACTACGTTGTGCTTGTGGTGTAATTGTCTGTGCTTCCTGTGATATTTTCCTAGTGCTTCATACAGAATGATGTTGATTATTTGCACGTGTTGAAGGCATGGAACCCGATTATATACTTTTATTTTAACAGAAAACTAAATAATGAGTGAAATATGTGCTGTGTCAAAGCTGTTTCAAGAAAGACTAAATCATAAGAAATAATCAAACTTGTTGTTGCGCTAAATTCGAATGGTGCGCGCAATCGACAAAGACTAGTTGAGCGCCCTAGATTTCTCACTCATGAACCTATGTTAATGTTTAAACATTCACTTTTAAAACACGCACAATTTGCTTCATTAAATTGATGTTAACATGTTTAAGATTTATTCAGCTATTCTTCTAAATGTGTTTATTTATTATAATGTGATAACCTCGCACGAAACTTTTTTGTCTTTTTGATTTCGAAACCTGACTTTGTTTGAACTCAATAAATTTGTTTTAAAACTACTTCTGACTTACGAGGGAAAGTCTCCAAGTGTGAATTACCGTTTTGAATGGGAGATATCCCAGTGTGTAGGGCTCGACGAGCTGATTCTAGTGGCATAAAGCATTTTTGCCCATGTTTCTTGAAGGCCCAGTTTTCTAGAAAATCAGTTTTTCAGAAACTTTAAAAAATAACCAAAACATTTTTAAATAAGATATAATTGTAGCGCGCACATTTCTGATTAAAATGAGACATTCCCCAGCTCTACAT